TCAATTTGGAACTCTCTGACCTAAACAGAATGTTTGTCTTGGGGTTTGCTAACTCAGCGAGTGTTTGCGAGAGCTTGTACAAAATAAGTCAGCCCCACCCTCCCAACACTTTCTTGACCAGCCCAAACCCTTGCGCAAGATTACTAACCTTGCGCAATTTGGGCCTTGAGCTTTAAGGTGAGGTGTCCTAAGATATGGGGGTGGGGGATGGACAGAAGCTATTAGGTCTTATGTGATTGGTCCGATCCGACCTGGTCTGTTGCTAAAATTTGTATGCTTGGTCCAAAATTTTGGTTTCACGAACCCATTTGGCAGACCAACCGTGGAGCAGAAATGGACACGTCTACTCGATATATTGCATTCCGGGTTGTACATCGCCGCGTGAAGACGAAAAGCTTACTTGCTGAAATCTAGTTACTTTTTGAAAGTGCCAGCTAGAAACTCTCGACATAATCTTGTACGAAAATCACGAGCGTTGAGAAAGTTTGCAAACATTATATCAGCAATTACTGTTTACTGACCATGAGCGGACTGGTTGGCGACCAAATCAAAGGCATTGTTGTAGTGCCATTCGAACACCATAACAAAAAATAATCCCGAGCTGCAGGATAGGACCAAATAATCCCGCATTGTTGTAGGAGCTTGTTCTCGAGCTGGTCCGCCGGGTCTGCATCGGACCCAATGGACTCCCACATTTGGAACACGTCCTTACGGAGAGAGAGACATGAGGGCGTGTTACAGGTAAGGGATCGATTGCCACTGTGACCCGATCCACACTGTTGTCAAATATTTTAGCCTTGTCTCTGACAAGGGATTGGTGTAGAGCAACAGTCCTTCAATTTTCTGACCTGTAACAAGCACTAAGACCGTATTCATGGCTTTGTGTCATCCGGTATTTGTTTCATCCCGAATGTGCTTTTCCGAATTGCCGGTCTTCAGACTCGAGCTTCGGATTTTCCAGTTTGGCATGCGGCGACACCTTACGAATTGGGTTTCGAAATTTCATTTCGCGTGCTGCTGTGCGACAATTTCTTGTCGTGCGACAAGTTCTATTCAATGCGTACAGCAACGTTGAAAAAACTCAGTCACGAATTTCTTCAAGCAATATTGCAACTATATATATTCTGGAGGAAGGATTTTAACTCGTCTGAGAAAAGAAAAAAAACAACACGACCAGTTGAAACTCACCTGAATTTTCAGACATCTCGTACGCTTTCTTCCGATACCGACAAATATCATAATAGCCTCCCTCCCCCTCTCTCTCCTCCCTCGTTACTCTTCATTTCTCTCACGCTTTGCCCAACCCAAGCCTCCTACCAAGTCCCTCGCTCCTCTACCAGACCAGCCCCCCCTCTAGTCCCTCGCTAATCTCCTAGCCCTAGTCCACCCCCCTCCTCCCCCCCCCCCCTCCCCCCCTCCCCAGCTCCCCTGCACCTCTCCCAACCCAGCCCCCGTCCCCATGTCCTTTGTATCTCTCTGCCCGGCCCTCTTCCTTTCACACCCCCTCACCCCCTTGGTCCCTCGCGTCTCAATAGAAATCACTCTCTACTAGTCAAGGTCCCCCATGCATGCCCCTCGCAGCCCAACTTGCTACGTTTGTCTGCTAGCGGACTATCAGGTCAGACACTGACACTGCCAGCAGCATAAATATTTCATACTTACTAAAATCATATTCATATTGTGGTCAACCAGAGTATCAGTGCAATTAGACTATGCAAAAGAAAATGAAAAAAAAGGACAAAAACTTTGCCCGTTTGAACGTTGGATCAAACTTTTTCTTTTTTTCTTTTGTTGCTACTTCATATGGGCCTAAATCTTAGCAAGAGCCCTGGCTCGGACTGAAAAGACTCAAGAATCATTATATTAATCTAAGTTCTACTGTGTAAAAATTTCCCCAGCAGTTTTGGCAAGTTGGCACAAGCTGTTGTATTACAACTTGTGTTTTTCCACAATCCAGATTGACACAAATAGTGGATGACACAAAATCATGAATAATCCCTAAGTCTGGAGGGAAGGTTGTTATAGGTGGGACCTGCTAGTGGAGACAAGCACTCCAAATACTGTGCCAAGTTCGAAACGAGTCCCGAATCTTGTGCAGGCGAAATTGGTTTTCCATGAATTGATTGCACGTTGCATCCCTTTTCAAGTTTGGCTCAATCCCATCGACCAGCCTCGTTGTGTATTCCTTGCGAATTGGATTGCTCTAATTCAATAGATCAAGTATTGTTTGTATATCTGTAATCACAGTATAGTCAGTATGCTTTTGTTGATTATCGGTTCTTGAAAGCCTTTTATAAAGATTTTGAGTAATTTCAAACCTGACGAGGTCTGTATGCAACTATTGCAACAGGGAAGACCAAGATATCGTCGAGATAGAGCAGCGAACCAAATCTGAACAGATTGCCAATTGAGAACAACGCGTCGACTTTGACTGCGGGACATATGTAAATTACGTGCTTATATATTTCACCGGTAGCATTCGGTAGAGTCTGCAAGCAGGAAAATGAATCCTAAAAATCGTAAGAAACATAGAAGCACATTCGGGAGGGATCAACACCAAACATGGCGAACCCGCCATGCTCCTAGGGTTGATCCCTTTTGAGTCGCATAATTTTCAATTGATGTTTTCTATTTTATGCCCGATTTTTGTTCAACGTGATGATTTTTGTTATCCAAAACGGAACAGTTGCGGCATGAACTCTATACCTTGGACAAATACAATACACCTTGACTCGAGCACCTGAGTAAACAACAATATAGGTTGGACTCTGCTCATTACATAAAAAAAAAATGGCAGGCTTGACAATTTTGGTAGTTCAAAACTGCTTGGCTAATGTAACTTCCATGAGCTTTACCAAAAATCTATATTCAAAACAATTTGCGCAATGGTTTGTGGAGCCGGTCGAACTAGAGAATCCTAATTCGCGTAAAACACGTAGCGAGGGTAGTCGGCGGGATTATTTTGGTCTCAAAAAGGGTGCCTCGCGCATTTGGTTCCTTTTCCGTGTTGCATACACCCAACAACCGTTGGGTGTTGCGCGAGTAAGGGCGCGGTGCTTTTGGCGCAAAAAAAGGATGTTTGGATTTTTGTTCGAATCTGTACCCCTTTCCGAGTTCAGCGTGTTGTCGAACACCTGTAATACTCAAGTTCGAACCGCGGATGCAAAACTCTGGTCATTACAACGCACCATGGCGGGTCGAATTTTGAAATTCGACCTCCGATAACGATTTCCGAAGCGTGCGTAGACCTCGTAGGTTACCCGGTCGAGACAACTGGACATTGCGAAATTCGCGTTGCATGCAGATTAGTCCTCGCCAGGCTTCGCGCAATTCGTGGAGCTTTTGAACGTGGGTAGAAATGATCGCGTTCGAAATCGCGCTTCGAACGCACGTTCGAACGTGCGTTCGAATGTGGGCCTGGTACCCTGATTACCTGGTCGAGAATCGAACTGTGATTGGGTGCGGGAAATATGTCTACGATATATGCGAAAACGGTAACCACACCAGATTTGAACAGATTTTCAAACTTCATTTCTAAAGCACTGCGCCCTAAGCTCTGCGCGGGCATCGCTGTGGGTGAGATGAGGTGGGGTGAGCTGGGGTGGGGTGGTGAGGGTTGCGCGAACCAAGTTTTGATGTGAAGCAAAGCAGCATCACACATTGCAGCGCGGCTTCAAGCCCGACCAAACGCTAGTGGTGGTGGTTAGCTTGGACGAAGTGGGACTCAGCGGGGTAAAGCACAGCCACCAACGCGCAAAGATTCCGCCGACCGATTAGGTCGTCAAAGGCGGTTGCGCGAGAGACCAGACATTCAAAGCCGTGTATCGCGTTGAGTATCGGGACAAGCTTGTCGTTCTTTGTTTTCCTTTAGGAGATAATCTTCGCGAAGCGTAGTGGGACTTGTAGGCGGTTCTAGCGCCAATCGCGACTTTTGAGGCACCTCAAAAGTCACTTCTGAAGCAACTGCATCAAAGTGGGTGGGACTTGTGGGCGGTTTGAGCGCTCACCGCCATAAGGCCACGTCGGGGCATGGGTAGATTTGATACGATTGCGGTGGGTCGGCGCCAGCCAGGGAACAAAGCGCAACGCATCACGCGAGCAAAGCAAAGCAAAGAGAAGCCGAAATCGACGCTCTCGTAGTCCAAGTTTGACTTTTGGTTCGGTGGGTATATACCATCATGTTGTCGAGCTTTACTGCGTGCAGTCAGCGATTCGGGCCCAGACAAACCACGAGAGGCTCCGCTTCGCTCCGAATAGCAAACTCGGACCTCGGAAATGGTGACAAATGCGGCATATTAATTTCTTACCCTTTGAGTCGACTCAAAAGTCCCCCCCCCCGAATAACAAACGCGGGCAATAAACGCGGCATCTCAATCTCGGGCATTCAAGCGCGGCGCCGCGGCGTTCCGAGCGGCTCAGAGCTCGTTTTGATGATGTGAGCGAGCGACGTGGTTGCACATCGGAGGGCTCGTGATGCGTCAAGTTCAGCGGAACGCTCAGTCCAGACGACTCGCCGTAGCTCGTGATCCAGTGACTCGCATCCTCTTTCGCTCGTGCCTTCTACTATAAGATGGGCCGCTGCAAAGTTACTAAACAAGCCAGCTTCTCATCGCTCATTCCCGTGGAAATCTCCCATCTCTCACTTCCTGCGCGAAGTAGTATTGTTCATCCCTCCTAGACCCCGTCGCCTCGCGGAAGCGGCCGCGAAGTAGTATTGTTCGTTTCCAATGGCGTCCGTCAAGTGGAGCCCCATCGCCCTCCCCTTGCTGCTGCTGCTGCTCCTGGCGGGTACGCAAAACCTTATTATCTCCCCCTCCTCCCCTTTGCTGCTGCTTCTGCTGCTATTCGCGGGTAAGCCGCGTCGATTGTCTGGCTCGGCGTGTTAGCAGCGAGCGGGCTCCGTTTCACACTCGCCGATGAAAACAGCCGCGTCACTCATCACCCCCCTGTCTCCTCCGCGCACTGTCATGTGCGGTGCTGTGCGATGTTGTGCGGTGCAGGGTCGTTGGACACTCCGTGGACGACCATCCGCTCTGCCGCTCTTGCGGTGAGCTCCGTTTCTCGCCACTCCTGCACGCCCTTTTCAGATTCAAAGCAAAATCATTTGCACCACTCACCGCCCACTCCATACTCTATACACCACTCACCACTCAGCGCTCCTCTCCATCGCGCTCTCTCCCCTCTGTGTGCGCTCCTCTCGCGCTCTCTCCCCTCTCGGTGCGCCACAATGCCAAGGCGGTGCTGGTGGGGTGGAGGTTCCCCCCTGTGTGCTTCTGTTCCCCCCCCCCCCCCCCCCCCCCCCTCCTGTGTGCTTCCTCTTTTACTCTCTGTGTACCGCCAGGACGTCAGGACGCCAGGGCGGTGGTGGCGGGGTGGAAGGACATGCTGTGGAGCCATTTTGAGTCGACACCAAGTCACCGTGTGATCGTTTCCTCTTGCACGCGCTCCTCCCCAACCCCACACTACTCTCTCCCTCCCTGCATGCGGGCAGGACGCCAGGGCGGCGGTGGAGGGGTGGAAGTACGTGCGCTGGAGCACCAGAACGCGCACATGGCTCACTGCTGCTTGCGTCAGATCTACTGACCTCCTCAACCCATCCGTGCGTGTGTGTGTGCTGCTCCCCTTCCTGCTGCCAGGACGCCTAGACAGTGGTGGTGGGGTGAAGGTATTCCTGCTAGAGTCGTCTTGACTTGACTCTTCCCCCCTGTGTCTGCGCTTCCCCCATCCCTTGTTCCTTGCTGCTGCCAGGACGCCAAGACGGTGGTGGTGGGGTGGAAGTACAGTCGCTGGAGCACCACTGTGAAGACGTGGCTGTCTGTCTCTCCCCCCCCACACCGCCCCCCTGTGTGCTCCCTCTCTTCCTCCCCGTGTGCTGCTGTGTGCTGCCAGGACGCCAAGACGGTGGTGGTGGGGTGGAAGTACAGTCGCTGGAGCACCACTGTGAAGACGTGGCTGTCTGTCTCTCCCCCCCCACACCGCCCCCCTGTGTGCTCCCTCTCTTCCTCCCCGTGTGCTGCTGTGTGCTGCCAGGACGCCAAGACGGTGGTGGTGGGGTGGAAGTACAGTCGCTGGAGCACCACTGTGAAGACCTGGCTGTCTGTCTCTCCCCCCCCACACCGCCCCCCTGTGTGCTCCCTCTCTTCCTCCCCGTGTGCTGCTGTGTGCTGCCAGGACGCCAAGACGGTGGTGGTGGGGTGGAAGTACAGTCGCTGGAGCACCACTGTGAAGACGTGGCTGTCTGTCTCTCCCCCCCCACACCGCCCCCCTGTGTGCTCCCTCTCTTCCTCCCCGTGTGCTGCTGTGTGCTGCCAGGACGCCAAGACGGTGGTGGTGGGGTGGAAGTACAGTCGCTGGAGCACCATGTGAAGACGTGGCTGTCTGTCTCTCCCCCCCCACACCGCCCCCCTGTGTGCTCCCTCTCTTCCTCCCCGTGTGCTGCTGTGGGCTGCCAGGACGCCAAGACGGTGGTGGTGGGGTGGAAGTACAGTCGCTGGAGCACCATGTGAAGACATGGCTGCCGCCCAAAATCCACGACGGCGACAAGATTGGTCAGTCGTCTTTTCCTTTTGCCGCTTTTGCTGTTGTTGAGGCGCCTCAAAATAGACTCCTAGCTGCTGCTGCTGCTGCTGCTGCTGCTGCTTTTGCCGCTGCCCCTCGCCAATCAGCTACTCACGTCATTCGCTCTCCCTTCTGCTAGCTCGCGCTCGCTCTTACCCATTATCTCGCACACCCTCTCTTGTTTCTCAGCAAGCATCAACCCGGCCTAAAGCAATGTCGCTTCCTTCCCAAATCCCTCCCCGTTGCTTGCTTCCTGAAAACCCCCCTCCCTTCCCCTCCCCGCTCTTCCCCACCTTCATTCCCCCCTTTCCCGCTTGTGTTTCTCCCTCCCGAACACCTCAGTGTTCAAGTGGAATGACTGGGAGCACGAGCACGAGCACAAGCTGGCAGCGGGCGTCGACTTGTATCGTCTCAGCAACTGCTGCTTTGACTCGACCCAAAACACCCTCTCCCTCTCTTGCGCGTGCTCTCTCCCAACGCCGCAGTGTTCAAGTGGAACGACTGGCGGCACAAGCACAACGTGGTGGCCGTGGACACTTACCGCTACTTATCGTGCTACTTTGGCAACGCGGGGCCGCCCTTCACAGTCGTCGCCAAGGCCTCCAAGCAGGGCACCTTCACTATTGTCGCGTCGACCAAGAATTCCGTGTACAGGGGCTTTTTTGTCAGCAGCGTTGGCAACGACTGCCAGAAGGGCATCAAGGTAGTTCTTCCCATTGAGCAAAATGCAGGTTAAGAATCTGCTACAGTACTAGCGCAGCTTCGTCCTGTGTCCTGGCTTAGCGTGTTTGGTTGGGTGGTGATGGAGATGGATTGACGTACGATGTGCCTCGCTCTGTCCATTGCTGCAAGAATTTCGAGGATTTTGGCATGGGATGGGCCGTAGTACGGTAACTTCACTGTTACGGTACATTGGGATGGTTAGTGTCAGCAGAATGTGTCCAGAAAGTTACATGTTGCAACGTGGCCATTCACCTGTTGAGAAACACTGTAACAGGAGATCTTGTAGGAGATCTTGTACCGGGAAAGTGGGTATATATTGTTTTCACCAAAATGGGGGTGTAAGAAAATCGAGCCTAAGTACAGCACCTACCCACCCACCCCTGCATAAGCTACCCGGGGGTTCTCTATTGCGGCGGGTGGTATATCGGGGAGATTATGGTACTACTATGAGGCAAGGCAAGCAGCCCACATACTGGGCTACACGATGATCTCCTCGTCATACACGGGGCTGTCACACCCCGGGGACAGGGCATCCAGGATGGGTGGCAGGGGGAATGGCAGAGCGCAGGGCAGTGGCCGGGCAGGGGGCATGGCAGAGCGCAGGGCAGTGGGGCTACACAATGATCTCGTCATACACAGGGCTGCCACACCCCGGAGACAGCGCGTCCAGAAAGAAACTAGTGAGTGGACTCAAAAGTCACCACAAGGCAACCCACATGCTAGGCTACACGATAATCTCCTCGTCGTACACGGGGCTGCCGCATCCCGGAGACAGCGCGTCCAGAATGCGCCACGAGTCGGTCCTCTTGTCAAACTCCTGCCAGCATGCATGGTGGGAGGGGGGCAGCGCATGGCGGGCAGGGGGCAGCGCAGGGGGAAGCGCAGGGGGAATGGTAGGTCACAGAGCAGAAGGGGTCAGCGGTGGTGGGCAGCAGTACACGAGGCTGCCACACCCCGGGGACTGCGCATCCAGGATGCGCCACGAGTCGGTCCTCTTGTCAAACTTCTGGCAGCATGCATGGCGGGGAGGGCAGGGGGAATACGGTAGCATGGCATTGGGCAGGAAAAAAGGGAAGAGATGGCAGGGCGCAGGGCAAGAGGAGGGGAAGGGCGGGTGTGGCAGGACACAGAGTAGAGGGGGTATTGAAAGGCGCAGCGGGAATTGAAGGTCAGAGTGGGTGAGGGAAGGTGCAAGGGCAGGGGGATGGAAGGACGCAGAATAGAAAGGCAGAGGGGATGGAAGAACACAGAGTGGGATGAGGTGGGAGGGATGGACGGGTGGAGAGAGATGGCTATGTGGGATTCGCACGGAAGGGGCCTGGGGTGTATGGGGGTGTTAGAGCAGAGAGCAGAGCACATAGAGTGACTTGTTAGACCAACAAGAGTGCGCGTGGAAGAGATGGGTGGAACTTACAATCAGATGTGCGCGCGCGCGCGCGCGCGTGTGTGTGTGTGTGTGTGTGTGTCTGTGTGTGTGTGTGTGTGTGTGTGTGTGGGTGTGTGTGTGTGTGTGTGTGTGTGTGTGTGCGCGCGCGTGCGCGTGCGCGTGTGCGTGTGCGTGTGCGTGTGCGTGTGTGTGTGTGTGTGTGTGCTTGCACGCGCGTGCACAAGCATGTGTGCATACATGCGTGTATGCATGTGTGTGCATGGACAAGCGTGCGTGTGTGCATGCGCCGCGCCGTGCATGTGCACGCATGAGGGACACACAACGAGAGGAAGGGGGCTCTTATGGGATATGGCGAGACTTATGATGGCAGAAAGAAGATAGGGCAAGAAGGGGAGAGGTCACAGTGCGGAGCAGGGAGGGGTGAACTCACTGTGCGTGCACATGCCGTGCATGTGCATGCATGAGCAACACCCAAAGATAGGAAGATGGCTCTAATGGGGTGCGGGGGAAGAATGAACAATCTGCGGTGAAGGATGGGGGGGAGAGGGGAGAGCTCACTGTGCGCAACACTCTGAGGTCGGCCAGATAGGCGAAGGCGGCACTCTCAAGAGCATCTGTCTGCCACACGTCGTCGCCCGCCTCCTGGAACAGCGGCTCTATCTCCACCAGGCCCAGATTCTGCGAGCACGAGCAGACACGAGATACGAGAGGCATGAATAGAGATGTAAAGAGGCGAAGGCGGCCCTTTCCGAAGCGTCTGTCTGCCACACGTCCTCGCCCGCCTCCTGGAACAGCGGCTCGATTTCCACCAGGCCCAGGTTCTGCCAGCACGGACGAGTAGGGAGACACGAGACACGAGATATGAGAGGCGTGAATGCAGGAGATGCAGAGAGGACGAGAGAGCGAGGTGAGGGACGAGGAACAGCGGCTCTGTCTCCACCAGCCCCAAATTCTGCGAGCATAGACGAGCAGAGGCACGAGATATGAAAGGCCTGAATGCAGGAGATGAAGAGAAAATGAGGAGCAAGCCGGGCACGAGCAACACCGGCTCTATCTCCACCAGCCCAAGATTCTGCCAGCACAGATGAGCAGAGAAACACGATATATGAGAGGCGTGAATGCAGTTGATGCAGGGCTAAAGAGGGAGCGAGCTGAAGGGTGAGGAATAGCGGCTCTATTTCCACCAACCCCAGGTTCTGCCAGCAGAGACGAGCAGAGAGACATGAGATACGAGACACGAGAGGCATCAATTCAGGAGAAGCAGGGAGAAAGATAGAGCAAGCTGGGGAACAAGGAACGGAGGTTCTATCTCCACTAGCCGCAGGTTCTGGTAGGCAGTGGAGGGGTGTGGAGGGGTAAGGAAAGGTCCAGCAAGGACGAGCGAGGTGAGAGATGAGGGCATTCACAGCTGTGACAAGGAAAAACCATCCCGTTCCCTACTTGTACAACAGCGGCTGTATCGCTACCAGCCATATAGGTAGGCACGGATTGAGAAAGAGGAGAGCACGAGTGGAGACAGGTGGGGGGGGGGGGGATGATGGGGAAGGGTGAACAGTGAGGGAAGGATGAAGGAGGGTAGGGCATAGATGCAAAAGACACTTGATGCCCTCAAACTCGTGCCAATGGCACCTTCTCACCTCAGCTGCCACCTTCTCACCTCAGGTGGGAGCTTGTGACGATCGCCACGGTCTGTTGAAGGTACAAGGAGGGGGTGGTGGCAGATGAGGGGGGTGGTGGCAGATGAGGGGGGTGGTGGCAAAGAACGGAGAAAGAATAAGCAGCGATGTGAAGAGCAAGTTGGTGGCTGAAAGGGAGGCACAGAGGAAAGGAAGCAGTGGCTGGCAAATTGGACGAGACAGAGGAAAGGAAGCAGTGGCTGGCAAATTGGACGAGACAGAGGAAAGGAAGCAGTGGCTGGCAAATTGGACGAGACAGAGGAAAGGAAGCAGTGGCTGGCAAATTGGACGAGACAGAGGAAAGGAAGCAGTGGCTGGCAAATTGGACGAGACAGAGGAAAGGAAGCAGTGGCTGGCAAATTGGACGAGACAGAGGAAAGGAAGCAGTGGCTGGCAAATTGGACGAGACAGAGGAAAGGAAGCAGTGGCTGGCAAATTGGACGAGACAGAGGAAAGGAAGCAGTGGCTGGCAAATTGGACGAGACAGAGGAAAGGAAGCAGTGGCTGGCAAATTGGACGAGACAGAGGAAAGGAAGCAGTGGCTGGCAAATTGGACGAGACAGAGGAAAGGAAGCAGTGGCTGGCAAATTGGACGAGACAGAGGAAAGGAAGCAGTGGCTGGCAAATTGGACGAGACAGAGGAAAGGAAGCAGTGGCTGGCAAATTGGACGAGACAGAGGAAAGGAAGCAGTGGCTGGCAAATTGGACGAGACAGAGGAAAGGAAGCAGTGGCTGGCAAATTGGACGAGACAGAGGAAAGGAAGCAGTGGCTGGCAAATTGGACGAGACAGAGGAAAGGAAGCAGTGGCTGGCAAATTGGACGAGACAGAGGAAAGGAAGCAGTGGCTGGCAAATTGGACGAGACAGAGGAAAGGAAGCAGTGGCTGGCAAATTGGACGAGACAGAGGAAAGGAAGCAGTGGCTGGCAAATTGGACGAGACAGAGGAAAGGAAGCAGTGGCTGGCAAATTGGACGAGACAGAGGAAAGGAAGCAGTGGCTGGCAAATTGGACGAGACAGAGGAAAGGAAGCAGTGGCTGGCAAATTGGACGAGACAGAGGAAAGGAAGCAGTGGCTGGCAAATTGGACGAGACAGAGGAAAGGAAGCAGTGGCTGGCAAATTGGACGAGACAGAGGAAAGGAAGCAGTGGCTGGCAAATTGGACGAGACAGAGGAAAGGAAGCAGTGGCTGGCAAATTGGACGAGACAGAGGAAAGGAAGCAGTGGCTGGCAAATTGGACGAGACAGAGGAAAGGAAGCAGTGGCTGGCAAATTGGACGAGACAGAGGAAAGGAAGCAGTGGCTGGCAAATTGGACGAGACAGAGGAAAGGAAGCAGTGGCTGACAGATTGGACGAGACAGAGAGAAAGTGGCGTGACAGGGCAGGCACACCTTTATTGCGGCCAACCACAAAGCCAACGCCTGCACGGCACACACACAGAAAGGAGAGAGGAACAAACATGTCGGGGGTTTGAATGGTGTGACAGGGAACAGAAAAGACAGGAAAGCTCAGAGCACTACAGGGCTAGACAGAACAAGAGAGAGAGAGACACATTGCAAGAGAGGGCGCGAATAGCAACTCACCTTTGGTGCGGTCATCGTCGAATCTATCCCTGACGGCAGCCGACAGCGGGTACAGAGCCTCACCTTTGATCCGCCCGTCATCGAATCTGTCCCTGAGGGCAGCAGACAGCGGATATTCCACCACGTCTCCTGTCACTGCCTTTTGAGTAAGAAGACAAGAGGGCACGTGTAGCAGCGCACCTTTGATTCGCCCGTCGTCGAATCTGTCCCTGACGGCAGCAGAGAGAGGATACTCCACCACATCGCCTGTCACTGCCTCCACTATCCGGCCCTCCCCCTCGCTCTCACTCTCGCTCTCGCTGTCTGACGACCACCTGCTTGCTGCTGCCTGCCTGGCGTCGCCCTTGCGCGTCCTGCCGTGCAGCAAGAAGGGGTTGTGCAGCAGGGGGGGTTGCAGCAGCGGGTGTTGTGTGAGGTGGTGCATGGCATGAGAAAAGTCTCAGCCTGAAGCTCTAGTCGGCTCATTAATGGGATGACTTGAACTGGAAGGGCTTTCTAGCGCTGAAAGGCTCGCTCACACCACCCGTGCCTCACTAAACTGCCCCACCCATGCCCCACCCGTGCCCAACGCGCTTCTCACTTGCCCCACGTGTGCCAAACGCCTCCCATGGACTCCCTACCATGCCTCATGGGGCACGGCTCACTCCCGCCGCACCACCTGTGCCCCACCCGCCCCTACCTCACTGAGCTGACTCACTTGCGCTGAGACGGCTGGAACTCGTCCCACGTGTCAAACGCCTCCCATGAATGGACCCATGCATGCCTCATAGGAATCACACACACCACCTGTGCCCCGCCCGTGCCTCAGTATATTGCCTCACTAGAGTGCCTCACTTGCGCTGGAACGGCTGGAACTCGTCCCACGTGTCAAAGGCCTCCCACGCCGCTCCCTTGCGCTGCGCACTGCCCTCCCTGCCCGCCATGAAGTCACGACTCAGCGCTGCTGCCCCAAACCGATCGTACAGCGCCCTCTGCTCCTCGTCCACCAGCACCTGATGGGTGGGAAGGGGGGGATGTTCATCGCTTTTTGATTGTTTGTTTCTCTATTACTGCAATTTCGTTTCCCTAGCCCACGGAGACAAGCAGTACTGAGGAGCAGAAGCAATTTGACTGAGCCCTGAGGGGAGGTGCGAGTCCTGTTTCTTGGGCAGCCTGACACACGCAGAGGAAGGGAGGGCATGCTAATCACCTACACTAGGAGGGACAAGGATCAAGGCAGACCATCTGCAGCAGGGAAAGGGAGTAACAGGGAGGAGGGGAGAAGAATGGGACAGTAAGAGGGCGCAAAGATGGGAGTGAGGGAGTTCAGAGAAGTGTGAGAGCAGCCGAGAAGTACTTCACGACATCCTCGTCCACCATCGCCTGATGACGGGGGATGGGGCGGGGCGAGGAGCGGTGCGGTGAGCGGGGCGGGGAGCAGGTCGGGGAGCAGGTCGGGGAGCAGGTCGGGGAGCAGGGCGGGGAGCAGGGCGGGGAGCGGAGCGCAGTGGGAGGGGTGTGTACTGGCGAGTGTTGCTGCAATCCGGTCATACAGGGCCCTCTGCTCACCGTCCACCAAGACCTGATGGGAGAGGGGGGGGGGGGGGGGGGGGGGGGGGGGGGGGGGGGGGGGGGGGGGGGGGGGGGGGGGGAGGGGTGCGGAGAGCGGGGCGGAGAGCAGGGCGGGGAGCGGAGCGGAGCAGAGTGGGAGGGTGTGTATTGGCGTGTGGTAGGGTGTCATACAGCGCCCTCTGCTCCTCGTCCACCAACACCTGGTGGGATGGGCGGGGAAGGGAGGGGGGCAGGGTGAGAGGCAGAGGGAAGCAGCAGCAAGAGAGAGCGTACAGGCGTCACCCCCAGCTCTGAATAGTCGCCAATCAGCGTATGTTTTTTGAGAATTCTTAGAAAACATACACAGATTCTGTATAGTCGCCAATTAGTAAAGCAGACACACTTGACCTGGGTAGAGCTAGTGGGGTGGAGGCGAGTGGGCGAGTGAGCAGCACTGAGGCTGCATAGATAGTGGCGGTACTGATTCAGTTCAGGCACACAGACGTTGGCAGTGAGTATTTGTGACACTGGAGCATGCGTATAATGAGGCACGCGCATAACGACGTATGCAATAAAGGAATGCGTATTCTGAGCATGAACACAAAGAGGCATGCGTATAACGATGCGCGCGCTGCCAGTGGTGAGAGCTGCCCGTTATTACCTCGTACGCGTTACTGAGCTGAATGAACGTGTCTGCCGCCCCCGGGTCGCTGTTGACATCTGGGTGGTACTGCAGGGGGGGAGGAGGAGGGGGAGGTGGAGAGGGAGGCGGAGAGGGAGGCGGAGAGGGAGGCGAGATGGCGTGAGGAATGAGCAGGAAGGAGCGGCTGTGACAGGAACGCGGAACTTGGTCTTTGGGAGGGACGCGTATGCGTCACGAATCACGCAGTGCGTGAGGCGCGACACGGAGTCGCCGCCGACCGTTACTGGCCTACAGCGGCGACTATTGTACAGCGCGCGGAGCGGAGCGGAGGCAAAGGGCCGTGACTGTATCGAGAGTGAAAGCAGCGGAGTGTGAGGGAAGTGACGATACGCCATGTGCTCTCTTAGGGTGGCTTAATTTCGCCCATTCTCTCTCGCACCGAATGCAACACTCAGCTTGAAGCGCCAGCTTGCGGAATGCGCGTTTCAGCTCGGTTTTATCCGCGCTACGATCAACCCCGAGAAGCCCGTAAAGGTCCACGTCCGCATCTGCAGCGACATTCGTGCCCGTCGCGGCGACAATCGCCAACCGACGACGCGAAATCGCCGATCCCGTGCGACCCTTGCTGACAGCAGCAGCGCTGCGAAATGGCAGGCGACGCAAACGGCTAGTTTGACCGAATTGGCCGCACGGGGCAACTTGCGCTTCCAGCTGGCAGCCTCGAGATCCTTGTTTTTGTCCGTTCAGGTGCGAGCTCGTGGTTCGATATAGAGTAGCGGGAACCGCGGCGGATGCCATGGCGGTAAGGCTCGACTCGAACACTCGGGCAAAAGAACTAGCGGAAATAGACGAGCCTACTACCTGGTTTCGAAAAAACGGATGGTGGAAGCGGCCGCTTGGGCTGATGAATCTGCGCCGTTCAAATTCATGTATCTGTTGAGGTGACTCCAAGGCGGCGCGCTGACGGGGAGCCACAGCGGAGGTGGAGAGAATGGATAGATGTTTCCGATTGGAGGACAATCTTTATATTCATAGGGATCGTTATTGACTCCACTTGAAGAATTTACATACATTTGCTCCATAAAGAAAACAGATGAAGCTGTTTTACAGTACATACCGTTTTTATTATACTGAGTAATTTCTGCTCTTCTAATAATTAAATTTATTGCATTTTCTACTCTAGATTCATGCTGGGCCGATTAAAATAGCAAGTGTTTGAAATAGTTTTATCCAAGGGAACAAAAAACTTCCAAAACAGTGCTGGAAATGACTCGCTACGGTAGGGCTAAACTAGCAACACGCCCTCACTCACAAACCCTAGCCTCCACCCCCCCTCGACTAAAACCCTCCATCCTCGTCAATCTTTCCTTTCTTTCGCCTATCCCCTTGCGTCTACTTACACGTGCTCTCCTTTCGCTACCTCCCAGTCTCATCCGTCTTCGCATTCGTCGCGCCATGGCTTACCCCAACGCGTCCGACGACCTGGTGTGGGTACTGCTGAACCAGGGCCACAGCTTCAAGGCGCGCTCGCCCGTCGGCGCCAAGCGCCACCTCAGCCGCGAGCCCAACAACCTCGTCGCCCTCCACTCGCGCAAGTACACCGGTGCGCGCTCATGCAATTGCACAGTGTGCGCCCGCCCGAATGCGCATCTGTGCGCCCTCTCGAGTGCGCCCGCGCATAGGTGCCCGCCCGCGCGCGCTGCTACGCATGAAGCAGATTTTCGCAAACGTTTGCGAACGCCGGATGTTGCAACAACGGATGTCGCAATAGCGATTATTGCAATAGCAGATGTCGCATCGGCGGATATCGCAACAGCGGGTGTCGCAATAGCAAGCCGTGGGCGATGAAGTGGCACGAGGCGATGACCGCCGCACGCCGTGAGGCAATGGTTCTGCAGAGCTCGATCAGCGGGGGGAAATCAGGTCGCACGTCGATTCTTCGAGTTGTCGGGCGCCGCAGAGGTTTTATCCCACGCGGCGCGAAAAGTGACGACTGCGTGACGACTTTCCAGGCGTTTACAATATCCGCCGTTTGAGGCGCCTCAATATTCGCGAAAGGGGGCGATGTAGGTAGCTACCAGTAGAATTTGGAGAAGTGGCCGGATCCACGACTTTATCGAATCTAGGGCGTTGCTTTCGGATTCAACGATGACTCGCAGCCGTCGTCTAAAGCCGCAGCATCGGGTCCTGCGGCGTCGCGCCGTTTCTCGCTCCGTCGGCGCCTCACACCACCCCGCACTCCCCTCTTCCCCCCATGCAGGCCTGGCGTCGGGCAAGACGGTGGCGATCCGCGCGACGGGCAAGGGGCAGAACCTGGAGGTGAGGGAACCATCCCCACGATTCACCATATCCCCCTCTCTTCCCCTCTCCCCCTCTCTTTCCCCCTTCCCCGGCTCCTCTCCCCCTCCCCTCCCCCCCCCCCCTCCCCCCCCCCCTCCCCCCCTCTCCTCCTCCCGCCTCCCATGCAGGCCTTGCATCCGGCAAAACAGTGGCGATCCGCGCGACGGGCAAGGGGCAGAACCTGGAGATGACGATCACGCACCCCGAGAAGGCGCACAAGCCCGCCGAGGCGCGCGAGGTGATCGTGCTGAAGAAGGACATGCCGCAGATCGCCAAGAACATCACGGACCGGGTGCGTTATAAGCAGCGGGGATGAGGTGCGGACCAGATGCGTTATAAGCAGCGAGGATGAGGTGCGGACCAGATGCGTTATAAGCAACGAGGATGAGGTGCGGACCGGGTGCGTTTCAAGCAGCGAGGATGAGGTTTGTTATAATACCAAGAATTAGTCGCTTTCAGGGCACCAGGTGTAGTTGTGGGTTCTGATAGCAACACCCATCAGTGATCAGCTCTCCGCTCATTCCTCCCTCCCCAGGCTCCTCTCCCCTCCCGGCACCCCCGCTCCACTCAATTCCACCGTCCCAACCCTCTGTCCGCTGTAACACAAGCTGTGAAATCAGCTCATGCGTTTCCATACGACACGCATCTCCCGCACACAACTTTCCCCTCACTCTGCAACTCCTCTCCCTTTCCCCCATCCCGTATCAGCTGAGCTCAACACATGCGAGCCATGGCCGATCAAGGCGCTACTGTACCCACACACTGCATTGCACCCATCAACCCTGATTCCCTTCTCCACTCCACTTCACTTCTTCCTGTCACCCTCCCCTCTCTCCTTCCCCTGTTCCATCAGCTAATCACATAGGAGCCACGGCTCAACATGGCATTGCTGACATACCCCCAACCCCAAACCTATTCCCCCCTTCCCCCAACCACCCCCCCCTCTCTCTTCTGCCCCCCCCATCAGCTAAAGACGTACGAGCCGAGGCTGAACAAGGCGGCGCTGGCCTATGCGTACAACCTGCACAAGGCACTGCGCCGCAGCGAGAGGGGGCAGGTGGGCACCGGCGCCAAGCACGTCGCCGTGCGCTGAACGCGGTACCGCTGTTGATTGCTGAAGCCCCCACGTGCACTTACAATGCTGCCTGAGTGGTTGCTGAGCTGACCAGACGTTAAGCTATGGGTGGACTGAAGCTTGCCGTTGTCTTGGTTTTGAAAGTGTGAACTGGACATGCTTTGCTAATGCTGGTAAAGAAAAATGTACAAGTCAGGCCCCTAGATTGGATTTGGGAGGCACGCTGGAAGATCAGAGTAGTAGTTGTCACATGCTCTTCACAGTTGGAAAGGCATGATTTTTTCCAGCTTGAAATTCATGGTTTTTTACACCTGGAAAATCATGATTTTTTTTCACGATCCACATGAATCGTCACATGGAAAATCAGCCAAAAAAACCCACTTTTCCTGTATGCAACACGTGATAGCGGAAGGCAAATCAAGTGCACTACCAATACCGGAGGATACGGTAACACCAAGCAGAACCGCACCATACAACCAATGGAGAGTGAGCCAGCAGCACTCCCTTGATCCCTTTGACTCCCTTGACCCCATTGACCCCTTTGACCCCTTTGACCCCTTGCCCCTTGATCCCTGAGCAGCACCTTCTGTCCCGACCCGAGCCCTTGAACTTCAAGAAGCAGGCAGTCGTGCCCTCCACCTTTCTACCATGCTGCCCTGCCAAACTTGCTACCCCACATCAGCCCACCTTCACGTATCCTACAATTTCTATTGCTAGCACCAAAGGTTCAACCCTGGGATGGGATACCTACCACTATAGCACCGCACCGCACTGCCTAACCTCCCAATCCAGAAAATACAGTTCATGCGACCTCAATTCAGGTGGTGCACTAGGAGAATGCTGTGAGAGCAAGACAGCAACTGGGCCGTGAGACAGTGAGACATGGCGACAGTGCATGGCATCAGTCCATACATGCACGCCCCTCCCTCGCCTGCACCAGTCTCGATTCCCCCCCCCCCTCTTCCCGCTCGGTTCTTTGAAGCATCGACATCCCACGACCTCCTAATTCAAGTCAACTAAAACCTCGAAATTCTGCAACTCTTTCCTGCTCGCCTCTCATTCCTCCCCTTCGCCCATCACTCCCGTCGCCGCCGGACCAAGATCCGTTGGAAGCGGAGAAAGAGGGCTCGCACTTGGCTTTTGAGGAACCTGAAATCGTCGCCCTCTCACTCCTCGACTCGTCTCTCACTCCTCGACTCGTCTCTCACTCCTCGACTCGTCTCTCACTCCTCGACTCGTCTCTCACTCCTCGACTCGTCTCTCACTCCTCGACTCGTCTCTCACTCCTCGACTCGTCTCTCACTCCTCGACTCGTCTCTCACTCCTCGACTCGTCTCTCACTCCTCGACTCGTCTCTCACTCCTCGACTCGTCTCTCACTCCTCGACTCGTCTCTCACTCCTCGACTCGTCTCTCACTCCTCGACTCGTCTCTCACTCCTCGACTCGTCTCTCACTCCTCGACTCGTCTCTCACTCCTCGACTCGTCTCTCACTCCTCGACTCGTCTCTCACTCCTCGACTCGTCTCTCACTCCTCGACTCGTCTCTCACTCCTCGACTCGTCTCTCACTCCTCGACTCGTCTCTCACTCCTCGACTCGTCTCTCACTCCTCGACTCGTCTCTCACTCCTCGACTCGTCTCTCACTCCTCGACTCGTCTCTCACTCCTCGACTCGTCTCTCACTCCTCGACTCGTCTCTCACTCCTCGACTCGTCTCTCACTCCTCGACTCGTCTCTCACTCCCATCAAATTCATCACTCCCATCAAATTCATCACTCCCATCAAATTCATCACTCCCATCAAATTCATCACTCCCATCAAATTCATCACTCCCATCAAATTCATCACTCCCATCAAATTCATCACTCCCATCAAATTCATCACTCCCATCAAATTCATCACTCCCATCAAATTCATCACTCCCATCAAATTCATCACTCCCATCAAATTCATCACTCCCATCAAATTCATCACTCCCATCAAATTCATCACTCCCATCAAATTCATCACTCCCATCAAATTCATCACTCCCATCAAATTCATCACTCCCATCAAATTCATCACTCCCATCAAATTCATCACTCCCATCAAATTCATCACTCCCCTCTCTATGCCATCAATAGCCCGTGAAGGCGCACCAAGAGCACTCGCAGGTGGGCCTTTTGAGGCGCCTCACACATACACCCTTCACCCCTGCCGCTTTGTCACCAGGAGCCCCTGAAGGCGCACCAAGAGCGCTCGCAGGTGCGCGGCAACGTCTGGACCGAGGAACCGGCTGGCGATGGCTTGCAGGTGGGCGGCAAGGATTGGCCCGACTAGGCGGTCGATGAACAGTTGCACTTGGGCCGCGATGTCTGGACCGAGGAGGAGGAGGAGGAGGTCCGAGGCCGAGAGGAGGAGAGCGAGGGTGAGGAGGAACAGGGCTGTGAGTATGAGCAGTGTTACCCAGCCTGGTGGGGGTTGGGGAGGGTCAGGTCAGACAACGGAGCATGGGGAGGGAGAAGAGGGCTGTGAGTATGAAGGCTGAGCTGAAGGAGCTTGTTAACCCACGCAAGCACGCGGTGCATCTTTGTATTGGCATGGTGGAGCAAAGGCACACAAAACTATGGCATCTAGACCCCCTTCATGCCTCATGCCTCCCACACCCAGCACCCCAACACCCCTCCCCACAACCCATAGCCTCAACAAGCACCCCAGCGAAAGCCCCTGACCCAGCACCCAGCGAGAACCCGTGACCCAGCACCAGCACTGACCTTGGCCGGTGGGCTTGGCAGCGACAGCTGTGACTCGCGCACTCGAGTCACCTGACACTGACAGCAGCGCCCTGGGGTGTGGGGAAGTGGGGGCGTAGGGTGTTGTGGGCATGGGGTGGGCTTGGCAGCGACAGCTGTGACATGCGCAATTGAGTCGCCTAACACTGACAGCAGCACCCTGGGGGGATGAGAGGAGGAGCGACAGAGACTCGGTTGCTTCTGAGAACTCTCAAGGACCGACTACCCGTGCCGCTGCAGATTGTTTCTGACAATTGTTTTGGAGAATCCTCAAAAACAACCTGACCGACTATCCGTGCCCCACACCGACAGCAACAGCAACCTGGGGGGAGAAGGTGTGCTGTCGTGGGGGTGTGGGGTGTGGGGTGTGGGGTGTGAACTCGAGAGCGGTGACGAACACCAGGTGCGCGCCCACCACTCCCCCCCTACCCACAATCCCGTAACTATATGCACTCGATAGCAGTCACCCCATTGAACCCACCTGGAGTTGGGCGAAAACTCGAGTGCCGTGACGAAGACCAGGTGCGCGCCCACTACCTTCTGCCTCACGCTCAGCGTGCGCGCATCCACTATAAACACATTGCCCTCTGGCGTTCCCCTGTGCATGGGACAATGCACACAGCACGGACAGCACACACAGCACACACAGCACACACAGCACACACAGCACACACGGCACACACGGCAGAGACGGCAAAGGGAGGGACATGAGAGTAGCAGGTAGACCAGATGCGCTCCCACCACTCTCTGCCTCACACTTAGTGTGCGTGCGTCCATTATGAACACATTGCACTCAGGGGTGCACCTGTGGATGGGACAATGTACACAGCAGAGACAGCAGAGACAGCAGAGACGGCAGAGACAGCACAGACAGCAGAGACGGCAGAGACGGCAGAGACAGCAGAGAGCACAGACGGCACAAGGAGTGGCATGAGAGTAGCAGGAAGACGCGGTGTGGCCCCATCACTCTCTGCCGCACACATAGTGTGCGCGCGTCCACTATGAACACATTGCCCTCTGGCGCTCCCCTGTGGATAACAGGCATGCACAGCAACAGAGAGCAGACATAGTACAGGAGAAAACAGGAGAAGACAGCAGAAGCACATAGGATAAACAAGCAGGTAATGCAGGGCAATGTAGGGAATGGTATAGCGTGGGCATTCTTGAGGCGAATGATGACGGATACAAGAAGAACCAGCGGACCCACAGCAGCGATCGGGTCGCTGTAGAACCTATCTTCCCCACCGCCACTTTTGACAAGTCTCACAAGCCAGCAACGTACGTGGCGAGCAGAGTGGAGTCGGGGCTGATGGCGAAGGCAGAGATGGGGTCGTTGTGGATCTTCCTCACTGCCACGCGCTGCCATGCTGCCGTCTCCCACACCACCACCCACCCCTTGCCACCTGGTATGTATGGACGTTGGTATGGGAAGTGAATAAGGACGGGGTTGAGAAAGGGAGGGGAATGCATGAATTCTCACACTGTGCCACTCTCCTCTCTGTCTGCTGCCGTCTCCCACACCACACCACCACCCACCCCTTGCCGCCTGCTGTGTAGGGAAGATGGGAAGGGGGATGAGAAAGGGGGTGTTGAGAAGGGTTGAGATGGGTTCATCCACACTGGCACTCTCGCAGCCATGCTGCCGTCATCCTCACCACCACCCATTCCTTGCCGCATGGCGTGCAGGGAAGATGGGGCGGAGAGAAAAGGGAGGGGGTTGAGAAGGGAGGACGTGAGAATGGAGGGTGAGAGAGAATAGAGGACGTGAGAAGGGAGGAGTGAGAATGGAGGGGGTTGAGAAGAGAGGAGGTGAGAAAGGACGTGGAGTGAGAAGGAAGGGGGTTGAGAAGAAAGGAGGTAAGAAGGGAGGGGAAATGAGAAGGGAGGGGGGTGAGAAGGGAAGAGGTAAGACGGGAGGGGAAGTGAGAAGGGAGGGGGGTGAAAAGGGAGGTGAGTGTGTATGGTTCCACCCTGGCCAAGTAAGGAATCAAGGGTCAACTTTTGAGGCGACTCACAACACAAGTCATCTCAAAGACCACATTCGACACCTACAAACAACCAATTCTGCTTCTCTTATGCTCACCCTTTCCCCCACCCATCACCCTTTCCCCCACCCATCACCCTTTCCCCCACCCATCACCCTTTCCCCCACCCATCACCCTTTCCCCCACCCCTCACCCTTTCCCCCACCCCTCACCCTTTCCCCCAACCATCACCCTTTCCCCCACCCATCACCCTTTCCCCCACCCATCACCCTTTCCCCCGCCCATCTCCCTTTCCCCCACCCATCACCCTTTCCCCCACCCATCTCCCTTTCCCCCACCCCTCACCCTTTCCCCCACCCATCACCCTTTCCCCCACCCATCACCCTTTCCCCCGCCCATCTCCCTTTCCCCCACCCATCACCCTTTCCCCCACCCATCACCCTTTCCCCCGCCCATCTCCCTTTCCCCCACCCATCTCCCTTTCCCCCACCCATCACCCTTTCCCCCACCCATCTCCCTTTCCCCCACCCATCTCCCTTTCCCCCACCCCTCACCCTTTCCCCCACCCATCACCCTGTCCCCCACCCCTCACTCTTGACACAGGTGGGGTCCCTCTCACCCTTCAACCCATTTCTCTCCTCACCCCTCTTCCCCCCCCCCCTCCCCCCTTCTCACCCCTCCCTGCCCCCTTTCCACTCACCCTTAACACAGGTGGAGTAGAGCAGGGGCTTGGTTGGGTCCCTGGAAAATCGGCACAATCCAAATCGCGCCCCGCCCTGAGGGGTGGGGATGGGTTGGAGAGAGAAAGACGGGAGTGCGTGAGTGGTGGATAGAGTGGGAGAGGATGTGGGTAAGAGGGAGGGCGTCGTTGTGTGAGGGAGGAGTGGTGGCTTTGGAGAACAGGGAGGCGCTGGTGAGAAGCAGAGGAGGAGAGCGTGAACGAGGTGCACTGGCATAGAGAGCAAGGTGCACTGGCATAGAGAGCAAGGTGCACTGGCATAGAGAGCAAGGTGCACTGGCATAGAGAGCAAGGTGCTGTGGGCTGCTGGGTAAAAACATGAGCGGGGAAGAATGCTGACTTGTGCAGTGGAAAGTGCTGACCTCAGCAATGGAGAGTGTGGCAAGTGCCGTCCCCTTGCGCACGCTCCACACCTTCAGCGGACCCGCGTCTGCCGTGGTGGCCACTAGTGTGCTGTCCAGACTGGCACGGTGCAGGGATGGAGGCGTGGGGGGAAGTGTGGATTCTATTCATTAGAGAGGGGAGAGGGGAGAGGGGAGAGGGGAGAGGGGAGAGGGGAGAGGGGAGAGGGGAGAGGGGAGAGGGGAGAGGGGAGAGGGGAGAGGGGAGAGGGGAGAGGGGAGAGGGGAGAGGGGAGAGGGGAGAGGGGAGAGGGGAGAGGGGAGAGGGGAGCGGGGAGCGGGGAGCGGGGAGAGGGAAAAAGTGTTGGAGAATCTGGATTGCCTCAGCATGGGTAAGATGGGGGGGTTTCCAGACTGGCGCGTTTCCAGAGGGGGGCGAAAGATGGGCGGTTGGGGCAAGATGGGGGGTTTGAGAGGGGAGGATAGGAGGTGGGAAAAAATATTGACACCATAGCTCCGACCTGGAGGGCTCTGTTGAGCTCATCCCACCACCCTCAGATGGTGGTGGGGCAGTATGCTGGGTGGGGGTTATGGGATGGGAGTCATGATATGGGATGCTTGAAAGGTGGAGACCTTGACACGGCAATCAGGAACTACATGGCGCATCCCATCCCTCTCGGGTGCACACAGCACTTCAAGCACACGCGCACTTGGTATCCATGGCACCGAGGCACAGGGTGCACCGACGCACAGGGTGAGAGGGCACGACCTCCGCAAAGCACACAGCACCTCACACACGCACTTGCCGCCCGAAGCTTCGGCATGGACTGTGCTTGATGTCAGCATCTCTGACTGAAGGAGGAGGTGCGCGCTGGACGTGCGTACTTAACAATAGGACTCCATAAATTACAAGTTGACATGACGGAGGAGATTAGAAGCATTGCACATACTTGATATCGGCATTTCTAAAGGAGGAGGTGTGGGCTTGGGGGACGTTCATCAGAACGTCCATGCTGGCTGGGCCATCCGACACACAGCACCCCACACAGCACCACACAGCACCCCACACAGCACCACACAGCACCCCACACAGCACCACACAGCACCCCACACAGCACCACACAGCACCACACAGCACCCCACACAGCACCACACAGCTGACAGCACCACACAGCACCCCACAGAGCACCACACGGCACCACACAGCACCCCACACAGCACCACGCAGCACCACACAGCACCCCACACAGCACCACACAGCACCACACAGCACCCCACAGAGCACCACACGGCACCACACAGCACCCCACACAGCACCACACAGCACCACACAGCACCCCACACAGCACCACACAGCACCACACACACAGCACCCCACACAGCACCACACAGCACCCCACACAGCACCACACAGCACCACACACACAGCACCCCACACAGCACCACACAGCACCTCTCACATACATACACACACGCAGCATGGGACGGGACATACTTAATATCGGCGTCTCTGAGGGAGGAGGTGTGCGCGCGGGGCACGTCCATCAGAATGTCCATGCTGGGCCACTCAAACACCCCCCCCACACGCGCACTCTTTCAGTGTTGCACGTACTTAATATCGGCATCTCTAAGAGAAGAGGTGTGCGCGCGGGGCACGTCCATCAGAATGTCCATGCTGGGCCACTCAAACACGCGCACGCGCCCATCCTCACTCCCGGCCACCACTCTGCACCCATCTGCACTGAACAGCAAACACTTCACCTCCGCCACCTTCTCCCCCTCCTCCCCTTTCCCCCCCCCTTCTCCCCTTTCCCCTCCTCCTTTTCCCCCTTCTTTCCCCCTTCCCCGTCCCCTGTTCCCTCCTCTCCCGCCTCTTGCCCTTCTCCCCCCTCCCCCTCCCCCGCCCTCTCCTCTTCCCCCGGTCCCAGCCATTTCAGGCGCACATCACTCTGAACCAGCTGCAGTTCCTCCAAAGGTACTGCTTCCTCGCTCCCCCTCCTCGTTGCGACCACCTCCTCTCCCCTCCCCGCCCCTGCGCCCCCCTCCTTCCCCTCCCCGTCCTCTGCCTTGCCTGCTGCGCCGCCCTCGCCCTTCCCTGGCGTCACTTGGAAGAGACTGGGCTAGCGGGCGGGGGGAAGGGAAGGGGGACAAGATGGAACAGGGGGGAGGGAAGGGGGACAAGATGGAACACGGGGGGGGGAGAGGTGGGTAAGATGGAACACAGGGGGAGGGAGGTGGGTAAGATGGAACACGGGGGAAGGGAGGTGGGTAAGATGGAACACGGGGGGTTAGAGGGCGCAAGAAAGGGTAGGGAGAGGAGACGGGAATGGGAATGGGAGACAAGGGGTAGAGGGAAGGGTGGAGGGAGGAGGAAGCGGGGAGGTTGGGAAAAAAGGAGACGCTTTGGTTAGTGGGAGTTTGAAAGAGGCTTTTCTCGAATGCGAGAAGAAATAGCGGCAGGTAGCAATGAGGGGACGAGAGGGGACGAAGGGGGTGGAAAGGGGGAGAATGGGGAGTGCAGCAGGAGAACGGGGAAAGAGGAGAAGGGGGAGGCAGGGGAGAAGGGGGAGAAAAGTGGGAGGAGGAAAGAGAAGAGGGAGGGAAGGATGTTTGAAAGGGAAGAGCAGGCGGAAAGAGGGGGGAGAGAGGGGGGGAGGGGGAGGGAAGGGGAAGAGAAGGGGAGAGGGGCGGGCAGGAGGGTCACACCGGCAGGCGTCAGCGAAGGCAGCAATGAGGCAGTCCCCGTTGGGGTGGGCCGTGATCTTGAACGCGGGGTTCACGCCCGTTGACAGGCTGAACACCTGCCATCCGTGGTGGTGCAGTGCGGTGCAGAGCGGTGCAGGGTGGTGCAATGAAGAGGCAGGGGAGTCAATGGGAACAGTGAGGCGAGTGCTGCGGAGGCACGGCGAGCAGTGGAGGCATGGCGAGGCACGGCGAGCAGTGGAGGCACGGCGAGCAGTGGAGGCACGGCAAGCAGTGAGGGAATGCGGAAGGGGGGCACGCCATGTGACACGCGCGGGGTGGGCGCTAACGAGGCATTCGTTGGCGCGGCCCGGCGGAGATGCAACGCGGGGGAGCGAGCGCAGGGGCGCGGGGCGCTGGCGCACCCTTGCATCAAATGCGCGGGCATCGAGGAGGGGGGATGAGCGACAGACGGAACTAGCGCGCACACAAGCACACGACGCTGACGCGCGGTGCACGCAGAAAGCGTGGTCGATGGGAATGGATCTGCGGAGGGCACGAACGACGTCCATGTGTCATGCAGTGCCACGTCACCTCCGAGAGCTCATCGGCGGCGAAGCTGTACTTGCACGCGATGATCTTGCTCTTGATGCCGTGCCGCCCCGCGCCGCCGCCCCCCGCCAGCACCACCAGCCCCTCCTCGCCCTGCGCGCCCGCCTTGGGGCCTTTCGTGGGCGCCCACGCGCCGCAGAAGAGCGGAAAGCCGAACTGCTTCTTCACCCTGGAATCGTCGGGCCGCGCCGGAGCCATGCTGGTTGGTTGCAATAAGTTTTCGTGGTTCCGTCGGTCGGGCGTGATCGCTCTAAAATAGATGCCTGTGGGAATTGGTGCCCAATTTTTTCGTACAGGTCTTCTGGGTGGGATTGCGTGCCATTCGAACCACGCTATCGCATTCGCTCATACGCCATATGGGACTCCTCAGGCTGAAATCACCAAATCGGCTGCTAGAATCCCAGAATCACTTTCTTATACAAGGCATTGGATTGAAAAGACGAAATTTGTTGATAATGTGTCAAATCCTCTTATCGTGTTGAAACAAGACCTTCGTCGCATCCTCTCTTCATGCACAAGTGGGACAACTCCAGCTTTGAACCACCGAAAGCAACCATACTAATGAAGCTCCCCGCCTTACAGCTGGTGTCATTTTAGTGTTCAACAAGGGAACCTAAACACCTGTTTTTTGAGTACCAGGCTAACGGCATTGCTACATCAACTTATCAGCCAAGTTAATGACTACAGCTACTTATCTGAACCAAGGTTTTTTATCGAGGCTTATAGATTACATCACGCTAACATCATCAATGTCTCAGAAGCTCGCGCCATTTTCAAGGTTGCGCCATTCTCCCAAGGGCTTTTCTCGCAAGACCCTCCGAAGGGCTCGCCAACCCTGGACCTTCAGCGGTTTGCTTTTAAGCATCAACGTTATAAAAAGTCAAGTGTCTTGACGAATGTGCTCAGCTCAGCTTTTTTTCTCAGTCGCTGCAATGCTGACAAGCTTCAGTCATCATTGCACGATGGCGAAAGGACGACACAACAATGGCAGCAAGAAGGCTACTGACAACGAGCTTGACAATGAAGGCGAGATCGTACCTGACCTACATGTGAAGACCAAGGCTGGTCGCAGGAAGCCTGCCTCAGGATCTGCGACGGCAAATGTTGACGGTCCTTTCAAGGATCTCTTGGACCTGCAAAACAATGATGACCAGGAGGAGGACCTGGGTGCGGATGCGGCCGAAGGTGACGACGACGCCCCTGAGAAGGCTGCGGACGAGACTGCGGAGGACGGTGATCTCGAGGAGGCTTCTGCTGAGGACAATGAGCAAGATGCGGAAGACTCCCTGTCGGCCATGGCTCCTGATGACGACGAGGATGGCTACCTGAGCGACGACTCCGACGAGCACCTGGAACCTGACTCGCTCAGCAGTGTTATCGCTATTAAAGGTACATTCCGCTGTGGACACATGTCCCAATCGTTTCTACCGCACTGCATCGTATTACACCAAATTGCACCCTAGTTTCGAAATTTTCGCGTCTCTGGTTTAGTTCGGTTCGGAGCGGTACACTCGATTGGGACACATCGATTGGGACATGTGTCCACAGCGGAATGTACCCTTAGGGTGCCGATTCTCACTAAATTTGTTGGTGCCGATTCACAGGAAGCCTGAAGTCACACGCGCGGCTGTCACGACTGCTGTGCTGCTGGATGACTGGAAGGAGCACCTCTCTCCAAAAGCTCAGCAGACGACGACTTACCAAGAGCTGTCGGCGATGTATTTTTCCGGGAAGTGTTACGGTCGCCTGCAAGTTACGTTCAACCACGTCAGGGATGCGAACTTCGTGTGGAAGCGGGTTATCAACCACGAATGTCTGAACGACGAACGTATTGAACTCACATGGCAGCATTCGCACACCGTCACGCTACCATGACCACTACATCACCCCGCACTAGGAGAGTTTCGCCAACTGGAACCTGACTGTAAAAAAGGTTCATGAGTTCAACGGTATAAGCTGCACATTTTCTTACCCACCGACACTGCAAACCTTACCGCTTGCTGTTGTTTTCTCTTCTTATACTGACGATCATCTGCTCGCTTCCCCCCGCAGCCGCATCTCTGAAAGCTTCAGACTTCCTGAAGCGGATCATGAAAGATCATGGCGTGGTACTTACATCCACCGGTGTTGCGCGAGATGAATGGGTCTGTGTTCAGTCGATGTGCGAGAAGGCATAGGGGAACCGGTTCGAGCAGGCTGCCGCCCATATCGCATCTGCCACAAGGGGGGGCTGCGCAAGGACGGCACTGCAACGCGTGCCAGCGTGTACTCTCAGAAGATGACTGCCTTCGAAAAGGGGTTTGTCGTAAAGCCGGCGACGAAGTAACCAGCGGCTCTGTCTATGCTCCGGTGGTGGATCTGGAGGAGGGTGTAGCGAAGTCGATCAGGGTAACAGGCTGTGTAGTTGGTGCAATGTTCTGTTTCGCTGTAGCAGGCTGTATCGTTGCAATGAAGCTCAATCGCGCATGGATGCTGTGGGGCCAAACGGTGTGGTTTAATGGATAAGCACAATAAGCTCACATTTCTCGAGCTCAACATCAACGGGCTCGGCAGTAACGGGAAGCAAGAGAGATGCGGGAAATGGATAAGGAAGGCGGCGGATGTGGTGGTTCTTACCAATACCAGAATTCCAGCTGATCATAACTTCTGGACTCAAGTCAGATCTGAGGCCCAGGCGGTGGTGTCGTTGTCGCAAAGGGACGGGGGTGTTGCTGTGCTTGGTTTCCTAAGAAGGTTCACGGAGGTGGTTGTGCACGAGTCAGGACGTCTCATAAGTCTGTCGCTTACCTGGCAGGACTTACGGTGCAGATTGGTAGCGGTTTATCTGCCGGCGCAGGCCTCCGCCAGGGGTGTTTTCTTTCGGGACTCTTTATCTCCCTTTGTGCAAGGCTTGGGGACGTCGCAGTACACAATCCTTCTGGGCGATCTCAACATTGTTGCAGACCCAGAGCTCGACAAATCTTCGAAGCTGGGCACGGCGGCAGAGAGGAGACTCCTGAAGATTTGCTTGAGATGGGACTTGCAGGACGCTTTCCGCAGTTTACACCCAGCTCGTAAGGAGTTCACCTTCTTCTCGAGATCTGCAAAAACGAGCACAAGGATTGACAGGATCTTAGTTTCTCATCGCTACTCGGCAATGTCATTGACGCAAGGCACAAGATGGTCCCCTACAGTTTGACTGACTATTGGTTTGCTGCGGCGGTGACGGTCAAGTCAGCTACGTCGGAAGAAAATGGCCCGGGTCTTTGGAGGTTACAGGCTCCTCAGGCGAGCAGGGATGGTACCAGGTGGATAATCTCAGCGGTGCTGGAGAAGCAGGCAGAGCAGCAGAACCAAGGCTTGGAGCGGTTGGTAGCGAACCTGCGGAACAAGCATGCGGACACATGTGACGAAGGAGAGGAAGCGTATTAAGGCGACCATCCGGCACTTGGAAGGGAAGGTGGAAAATGTACGATGGCGTGTGATGGCGGAACCGCTAGCTCAGGATGTCTATGAAGAGCTGGTGAAGAACGAAGTGGCGCCGAAGCTGTACCAAGACAGCAATAAGGAGAGACTGCAAGTCATGTCAGGGCTGCTGATGGAGTTGGCAGGACAGACCCCGTCAGGCTTTATGTCAGGCCTAGTCAAGTCACGAAAACAAAGACTGAGATACAGGAGCTTCTTTTCAAAGGAAGACACTGCAATGGAGCGCGGGAAGTTGTGTCAGTGGCGTCAGAATATTTCAGGGACGCATACGCGGCCTCAACACTGATGAAACTCATTGAACCGTGGCCAATCGAGGAAGGGATCACTAAAGCTACTATAGCACACGACCATGAGTTTGGATCCGCTGATATTTATCGCCTGATCGAGTTTATGGATCGTCCATTGAGGTAAAAGCATTTTTTGTTGTTTATAATACGACATCAATCATTTGGCTGGACACAAGTCATTCCTTTGCTTGTTTTCGTGCGCCACATGGTATGCCCGAGGATCGTGTGATCCATTTACATTATGATTGTGCTCGGGAATGAATTTACAATACTCGTTCCTACTGAGGATGGCGTCGTGTACGGCACCAGATATTTAGTAAGTGGGAACATGCAACATACTAAGAATTTGAATGATACAGAACCAAGCCAATTTTATGATTTTCATTTGGATTTGGCAAAACAATCTACCATTTAGATTTGTTATTGTAGGCTGTAGTGCAGAGAGTGGGAGCGGAGGTTAAGGAGGTTGGCGGCATGAAGGAAGGCATAGGACCAAGGGGAAGGAAGGGTGGAGGCGTGAGCAATTAGGCAGCGAACAATCTTGGTGATTTCTCAAATGCGACTCTCAGCGATACCGTTCTGCTGAGGGGAGTGGTGAAGGGTGGAGGTCTACTGAATGCCGTGGGTTTTCCAGTAAGTGGAGAGGGTATGATTGATGAACCCACCCCTACCGTCAGAGTGAAGGATGCTAATGGGGTGTTTGAAGTGAGTGCGGCACAGCTCTGACAATATGACGACCACAGCCGGTACCTGGTCCTTTGCGTGAAGGAAGAAGACTGTGGGGTACCGACTGTGGTCCTCGACGAGGACGAGCATGTACCGGTGCCCTTGAAGAGGGTGAATGGGAGAGGGGCCCCACAGGTCCATGTGAAGGTCACTGGGAGCAGCTACAAAAGTGGGATGATTGTGATGGGGAGCCTGTTTAAGTTTATCATGAATGCAAGATGGTCATGGGGGAGTTGGGGAGGAGGGGAGGGGAGGAATTATGGGAGGGAGGCTGGCAAGGAGGCGGGAAATGACGGCAATGCAAAGTGCGACAAAGTTGGGATGGCCAAGTCTATGATGCAAGTGCACGGCAGGGTGGGAGAGGTTAGTAGAGGAGGAGGGGGATGGAGTGGGGGAGGAGCTAGAAGACGGAGTGGGGGAGGGGGAGGGGGATGGAGTAAAGGAAGGGGATACCACAGGGGGGAGGGGGCGGAGGACCGATGGAAGTGCCAACACGAGTGGTGACCTGGTAGAAAGAGGAATGTGTGGTGCGAAGTGTGTAAAGGCGAGTGCGAGGACAAGGAGGAATGCACTGGAGAAAATGACCGGAGGCAGTGTGAAAGTGATTGTAGTAGGAAGCAAGGCTAGGGTAAATGGCAGTAATAAGAGTGCGTTGCAGTTCACGGTGGGAGAGGAGGTTGTTGCGAAGGGTGGGGAAGTGGAGACCAGTGACTGTACCGGAGGGGAAGATGGTGCACGGAAGTGTGGAAAGGTGAGTACAGGGGATGGAGAAACTGGAGTTGGCATTGTGAACCTAAGTGGGAAGAGGAAGGGGGGTGAGGATACCAGCATCCCAGAGTGCAGTTTCTGTTGCCCCACTGTCAAGGACAAGTCCAGAATGGTGAAAGAAGGAGGGGAGGGGGGCACTGGATGAGAGTCTCATTAATAGTTGAGGGAGACATGGAAGCGACAAAAGGCGCAACAGTAAACTGACCAAGAAAACTGCCTTGGGTACCAAGAAAACGGCCCGGGAGGGGAGGGGGGGGGGGGAAAGAAGGGACCCCAGGGGGAGGGGGAGGGGAGGCATGCATTGCCAAAGGTCAGCTGTTGCTGCTGCCGGCGGTGGCTCCAGCAACAGTTGCCGCGGCCTGAGAGCCAGCACCCTATTGCTACTGCTGCTGCTGCTGTTGCCGCTGGAGATACTGATGCTGCTACTGCTGCTGCTTCTGCTGAAAGTACTGCTGCGGCTGCTGGGGCTACTGAAGTTGCTGCAGATGGTAAGGGGGGAGGGGGCGAGCAGACGGAAGTGAGCAGGAAGGAAGGAGGGGAGGGTTTGGATGTCTACGAGTGAGGGACGAGGGAACTAGCGAGGAGGGATGCCGGTGTTGCCATGATCAAACCAAGCGTCATCACGGTGAGGAGGGATGCCGGTGTTGCCGGTGCGATAAAGCTGATGTTGCGACGCTCAAACATCACATGCAGCTCAGCCCAAATCACAGAAGCCCGGAGCTCACGAGCTTGGAAGCGGCGCATGAGGGTGTCGAGAAGCGCACCAAGGATGATGATGAATGCGCGATTGTCGGCATCAGACCAAGCGATGCGGTTGGGAGTGTAGGTTGCTAGGTCACACTCATACTGCGCAAGGAGTGCCATGTAGAAGTCACACACCGACCGTGCGAAGGCATGGGCGTATACGGCAGCTTTGTGGTCGACCTTGCGGACCATGTACTCGCGACGGCGGGGGAGGAAAGCTGCGCCGGCGACAGCTTGGAGCTCGGCGGTAGCGGCGGCCTCAAGGTCAGGTTCGTCGGGAGGAGGACCGGGTGGGGGGAGGGTGGGGGGGGGACAGGGGGGAGGATCACCAGGGTGGTTGGGCGCGGTCGGCGGGAGGGCATGGGGATGGCGGAGGAGCATGTCAAGGACGTAGTAAGGGGGAACGAAGGCGTCCTTGGGAACTCGGCGGACGCTGCCAACAAAAGAGTGCCAGTTAAGAGCAGACTTGTCCGCCGCGAGCTGGAGTTTGTCAATGGAAGAAGCATCGATGAGAGGAGGAAGGGAAGAAGGGGGGGGGGGAAGAACTGGAGGGATAGCAGCCATGGTGGGCGACGGCGAGTGGACCCGCGACGACCAAGGATGAAGCAACGGTGGGCGGACCCGCGGCGGGTAGGGGGGAAGCGGCAACGGGGTTTTTTTCTTTTCTTTTCTTTTCTTTTTTTAAGAGGGTGACATGGCGTGATGGTAACTGGGCATGCTATGGTGACCGGGCGCGTTATGGTGACCGGGCGCTCTAAGGTGACCGGACGCTCTAAGGTGACCGGACGCGTTATAGTGTCCGGGGGCGCGAAGGTGCCCAGGCGCGCGAAGGTCTAAGAAGTGGCCCCCTTATATATCAAACATTCACGGGTGCTAAAAATGGCGGCCGTGTTGAGCTCTTGTTATATAATATGCCTCCGCCTCGTCCTCTGCATCACACGCATCCTCCTCTTGCATAGACAGCGAGGCCTCTTAGCCCTCCAACATTGGAGGCAGGAGCAGTAGCAATGATGGTGGCGGGGGCTGGGTCTCCTCCAGGTTCCCCCGGTCAGCAATCCGCTGCCCCTCGTCACTCGGAAATACGTGTGGCACCCCGGCTGGCGGTTGGGGGATTGTCCCGCAGGCGTGCTGATGTCCCTCGTCTGCTTAAGGTGGAGGGGCATATGTTTGTGCATCTGGGGCACGTGACCGCCTTCGTGGCTGTTGTTGCTCTATTGATCGACAATGCAGCGGCAACACTGAGAATGTACCGATGGAATCAAGCACGATAAACCATGCGCAGATGCGGACAAGTCAGGATGGGCGTGGGTGTTGCGGCATGAATTGGAGCGGGCAG